TGTAGAGTTTTTAGATGAATATGAAAAATTGGGACATATGACCGAAATAGATATTGAAAGGATTATGTCACCACATTACTTTATACCACACCATTGTGTGCTTAAACCTGATAGTACCACCACCAAGTTACGTGTGGTATTTGATGCATCATCCAAGATAACTTCAGGACAATCTCTCAATGATTTACTACACATCGGACCAACTGTTCAAAGTGAATTACTGTCTATTTTATTACGATTCCGTCTTCCTCATTATGTGTTTGCAACAGACATTGAAAAGATGTACCAACAAATACTTGTACATCCAGAAGACAGACAATGTCAGCTTATCGTTTGGAGAAATGAACCAAGTCAACCTATAAAGTACTTTGAACTCAACACAGTAACATATGGTACTAGATCAGCACCGTATCTAGCAACCAAATGTTTGCAAGCTTTAGCTGATGATAATATGCAAAATTATCCATTAGGTGCATCTGCTCTTAAACAAAACTTCTATGTAGATGACTATTTACACGGGGCAGATAGTCTGAGAATATTATTGGAATTGATGGCAAGGACAACATTGTGTACGTTGTACTAAAGTAAGACCACGATTTTATGAACAACTGATGGGTAATTTGCCAACGACAAGAGTAGAACCTGGGCGACCACTCCTCACCACTGGAGTGGACTTTTGCGGACCTTTTTGGATACATTACAGAATCCGAGGCAAGAAACCACACAAGGCATACATTGCTGTGTACTGTTGTTTTGCAACTAAGGCAGTTCACCTCGAAGTAGTTAGCGATTTAACCACAGATGCATTCATCGGATCGCTGAAACGTTTTATTGCTCGAAGAGGACACTGCAAAAATTTGTTTTGTGACAATGCCACAAATTTCGTGGGAGCAAGCAATCAATTACTTGAACTTTCAGACTCAAGTCAAGCAAACAAGGCACAAGAGAAGATAATTAATAAATGTAATGAAAGAGGAATAACATTTAAATTTACACCTCCTCGTGCACCACACTTCGGTGGACTGTGGGAAGCAGCAGTCAAATCTGCAAAACATTTATTGATACGAAGTACTAAGACCACGTCACTAACATATGAGGAACTAGAGACTGTGGTATTAGAAGTCGAAGCAATACTGAACTCTCGACCATTGACACCTACATTGTGACCGAAAAGCTTTCGGAAATTCTCATTTAAAATTCGCGCGCTGTATATTTTTCGATATTTTAAGTTTATGTAGTTTTGGCGGCACTTGTCCTTAATTTACTATGCCAAAATGAGCGCGATCTGTCAGACAGTTCGTTTACGGCAGCTGTTGAAACCAGTTCCCCTCAGTAGTGCGTTGCGAAAAAACAATGGAAAAAAATATTGAACAAAGAGTTTGCATCAAATTTTGTGTTTCGAACGAAATTTCGTGTGCAGAATCGTTGCGAATGCTACAAAAGGCTTATGGGTAATCAGTTTTATCGAAAACTCAAGTTTATGAGTGGTACAAAGCCTTTCAGGACGGTCGTACGACCGTCGAAGACATGCCGCGTTCTGGACGACCTTCGGCCTCTACCACCGACGAAAACATTGAAAAGGCAAAGGAAATCGTGTTCCAAAATCCTCATGTGAGTGTTAGAGAGATAGCACGAGAGCTAGGCATCGGTCGTGAGAGCTATCCGCCGTAAACGGCCTCAATTGTGGAAGGATAATTCATGGATTTTTCATGACGATAATGCTCCCTCGCACCGAGCCAACATTATCAACGATTTTAAGGCCAAACATTCAATAAATACCATCAAACAGCCACCGTATTCACCTGATCTTGCACCGTGTGACTTTTTCCTGTTTCCCAAACTCAAATTACCACTCAGAGGAACGCGTTTTGAATCCATAGAAGACGAAAAACAGAATTCGCAGAGGGAACTCAAAGCCATACCGGAAAGCGCCAATAAAAAATTTTGATGATTTGGAAGAAACGTTGGCATTTGATTGTATCGCTTCTAATGGAGCATATTTTGAAGGAGATAAAATAAATATTGATGAAGATTAAGAATTTTGCGTTTTATTTATTTATTTCCGGAAACTTTTCGGTCACAATGTATGTCGAGTAATCCGAATCACTTGTCAGCACTAACACCTGGTCATTTCTTAATCAGAGAACCACTCACAGCAATGGCAGATGCAAAGGCCCAATCAGGAAATATAAATTTGGTGACAAGGTGGAAATTAGTTTCTCGCCTCAAATTGGACTTTTGGGAATGTTGGAAAACCGAGTACCTCACTGAACTACAAGGTCGACACAAATGGAAAGCAACCAATCCAAATATAAAAGAAGGTACCCTTGTAATCATCAAGGAAGATAATGTTCCTACATTAAAATGGCCGTTTGGACGTATTTCAAAGGTATATGAAAGGTTGATGTTAAAATGGCTTCAGGAACTCTAAGACGTCCTTTGACAAGACTAGCGCCTCTGTTTCCAGCCGATAACCAATCTCCTGTTTCTGATGAACAACTTTCAAAAAGTTTTACAAAAGCGAATTCGAAAACACCACACGAAGGCACATATCAAGACGAGCCGTCTAAAAAGTATTCACGGCCAATGTCTAATTCATTACTGTGCACAATGTTATTATCTCTATTATTCTTGCCATTGGTATTAGGGAATTCAGTGAATGTAACACGTTTCGACAATAATTTAGGAATATACTTTGAATCCATTGGCTTGATGAAAGTAGCAACGGCAGAATAGAAAATGATTGTTTACTATGATCTTCATCCATATTGGACCGAAATGGACTCATTCAACAACGGGACTAAAACCATCAAACGTTTATATTCAGAATTGCAAATACATACAGCATGTACTTCTCTCTATACTCATTTTAAACACGTCAGAGATGAGTTGTTGCAAGACCAAACATTATTATATAAAAGCCGAAACAAGCGAGCTGCAATTAATATAGTAGGAAATATTGCACATACCTTATTTGGAGTGCTTAATTCAGACTACGCTGAGAGATGTCTGACACAATAAATCAACTTAACAGTAGAGATGATTAAGCAATGCAATTAATTCATAATCAAACATCTATTATCGATTCCACAATAAATATAATCAAACGAGATGAAGTTACCATGCAGTCCCGAGTGAATCATTTGCAAAACGAGATTGATGAGTTTCTGAATAGAATTGGAACTGCAACAGAACAGATACATGTCACTCAATTACTACTTTCATTATCTGCAGAACTCACATTAATGGTATCCAATCTTCAACACATCCAGTCGGAGATAATTGATGTGCCTTCAGATACACATCATGGGAAAATCAGTCCATTGCTATTAACTCCTGAGCAATTAACAAAGGAGATTAAGAGAATCAAAGGCCACTTACCACCGTCGCGTACATTACCGTTCACAGAAGACAATTTGACCGATTTTTACAAGCTAATGAAAGTGAAGTCAACAATTAAAAATCAGCATGTATTATTTTTAATACAACTACCACTGCTAGATAAGCAGCAATTGGAATTGTTCAAGACAACACCGATCCCGGTTGTAATAAACAAAACCATGATAATTATCAAAACTGAAGTGGAGTACTTGGCAACCAACACTGTTCGAGATCAGTACATTCCATTTGATGACCATAAGTTACGGGAATGTTTTTTAACCAAGGATAATATATACATTTGCGCTAATAAGCAAACAAGACTGAGTATAGCATCATCGGTACATTCATGTGAAATTAATCTATTTAACGGTAACCAGTCAACAACATGCAATATAATAAAACTTCAAGAAAATATTGCATTGAAACAACTACACAACCCGAACCAGTGGCTATACGCAACAAAATTTGAAACATTGATGTCAGCTAGTTGTTAGACCTACTTGAGTCAGTTCTCACTGATAGGATCCGGAATGCTTACATTTGGACCTACGTGCATCATTAAAAACGCAGAAATAACCATACATGACCACTATTTCATCTCCAGCACTGTATTCACGTCATTTCCACGATTTGGAAATTTATCAACAGTTGTACACATTGATGAGATGCAGAAAATCTTCAATACAACACCAAATGATGTAGAAACACAACTCAAGGAACTCACGGAATTACAAAACCAGCTAACTAAGGAAAACTTGACGTATCTTCCCTCTAGAGTGCGATTAAACAGTATTCATCATCATACGATAAGCTATTTGTCGTTGTAAATTTCTATAACAATAATAATAATCAGTACTTGGAAAACCAAACATAACATATGTCAGAAACACACAATAAACGAAAATGCAACACAAGGAAATGATTTATTACATCAACAAAATTTGGACTTCACGGTGACCACAACCTAGGACAAGTTGAGTTGGCACTCAACGGCGGGGAGAATGTTTATGTTTACATGTAATTGATATCATTTTATATTTTTGTTTTTGTTATGATATTTGGTTACATGTGTTTACATATTATTTGGGCCAACACTGCGACCAGTCATTGACCAAAGAAAAGTGCAATTTTGCATTATCAGCTTTTCTTGTTGGTCAATGCACTGAAGAAAGTGTGTAATATGTTGGCCTATAATTATGTCAGCACAGCGTAGGCAAATTTATTTATTTGTGAATTATGCATTAATATTTATTGTCAATTAATGCATAATTTAATAGCTTTTTTATGAAATAATTTTGTACAAATAGAAGAAATAATTTTAATAAAGTTCAGAAAAAGACACGAAATACAAACCAATTATAACTTTCATTTCTTACTTTCTCGCATCGATTAGTTTGGGTTTCAAGTGGTCAAACTAATCAACATAAAAACTACAAGTAGTTTGGGTTACAAGTGCTCAAACTATTTTACACACAAAAATTTGCTACCAAGCTAACACAGATTAAGGATCTGGGTTAGCACCAAGTAGTGTACAATTCTCTATGATATCTTTTATATTATTGACATATCCCCCTATAGTTACTAAATCTAAAGCGTCAATTCCACTCGGTCTATTTCCTTTCCTTCCAAAAACTATTTTGTCCGGTGGATGAGTTGTTGTGTTATAACATGAACCTGCAAACTTCATTGCTTCATTCTAATTTAATTTCTCAAAATCAACTGTATTCAAATATTCTTTTAACCTACTATGAATTTCTATTGACCCATTTGCTTGTGGATGAGCTACACTAGTAGTAATATGTTTAATCTTAAAGATTTTAGATAATCCTCCATTAACTCATTACAAAACTCTGTAATTATCTGTTAATATTATTTTTGGAATACCAAAATAGGTAATCCATTCGTTTACAAACGCTCATGCAACAGTTTCTGAGCTTTTATCTTTAAGTGATGTTATACGTATATACCATATTTTGAAAGACTGTCTTATATACTTAATGCGTACAAATTTCCTGCTTCAGATATTGGGTAAGGGCCAGTTAAATCTATGCTGACTTATTCAAGTGCACTAGAAGCATTTGAGACCAATTGCATAGGCATTCTAGTAGGATGTCTGTCAATTTTACCAAATTGACACTTTTTACAAGCTCTTACACAATCTGCAACCATATCATTTAAATTTTTCCATGTATACTTTCTCTAATTTTTGAAATAGTTGCTTTTTGTCCGACATGACCACCTACAATACTATCATGATTTTTCTCAATTATTTCTTTCATTTTCTGAGAGTCTGTTACCTCGATCATTTTCCCTTTCTCTTGAACATTTTCCTCAACAATGTTTTTAAAGTTTACTTTAACCGATTCTTTTTCATTATTTTCAATTTCTATTTTCTCCTGTTCGTTACAACAACTACAACGTTACTTTTTCTTTTCTTTTCTTGTTACTACTAACACATTTCTACTTAAATTATCAGCTACTACATTTTCAACTTCTTTTTTATATTCTATATCATACATATACTCTTTTAACTTAAGTCTCTATCATACTAATCTCGATCCAGGGTCCTTTACATTAAACAACCATTTCAATGGCTTATGATCCGTTCCGATCAAAAATTTCTTTCCATACAAATATGGTCTGAATACTTCTACGGCCCAAACAATGGCCAAACACTTTTTTTCTGTAGTGCTATAATTTCTCTCAGCAATATTCAAACTTCTGCTAATAAACTGAATTGGCATATCTTTACGGCCACTCTCTTGTGATAGCACTGCCCCCAGACCTTCATTTCAAGCATCTGTTGTAACAATGAATTTCATTTCAAAATCTGGAAATTGCAAGTTTACCACACTGGTTATTTGGTATCTTTCAGTTAACCAAATGCATTGTCCTGCTCTTCCCCCCAAAAAACTCAACTTCTTTCCTAAGAAGTTTATTAATAGGTGCCGCTATTTGACTAAAACCTTTAATAAATCTTCTATAATAATTTATCGCTCCCATGAACGGCTATATTTCCTTAATACTCTTTGGAGGAGACAATTTTACTATCGGCGAACTTTATCTGGATTAGGTTTAACACCTCGTTCTCCAATAACATGACCCAAACCATCCACACAGAAGAATTCCACGGCGATTTAGAATTCTGTATAACATCGTTTTCTAACAATTTCTTTACTTGATTCTTCACTTCCTTTTCATTCACTTTTGGATATCTATATGTTTTTGTATAAATAGGTTTTACTCCTTCTTGTGTTCTTATATCACAAGTTAACGTATCAGTGAAACTCAATTTTTCTCCTTCTAAAATGAACAAATCACTATATTCTGATATCAATTTCCTAATTGATTCATTCTCCTCATCATTCATATGATCTACTCTTAATATATATAAATTCACACCTATTTCTTATTTGAAAGACTCTCTCTTGCATTAATTTTTCTTTTTTAGGATCCTTTCTACAATTATCAGCAATATTATAATCCCTAAGGTATTCTACCTTCAACGGAAAATCAATTACAATTTTTTTCTCACACTTATTTATAATGCTTACTAAGCATTTTCCATATCTCATTGTACTAATACAATGAGGTATGACAATTTTTTTATCTTCATAACGCAGAACATACACATCTAATCCATTCTTTTCACCTTTCTTAACCTTAATAGAACGAAAGACTACCATTCTTGGCGGAACAAATTCTTCAATTTTATTATATTGGTGACTATGTACATTTTTATCAACATAAAATAAATCATGGTCATAATCTATCTTGCACTTAAAATGGCCTAAAAAATCAGCTCGGATTATGCCATCACATCCGTAAACCAGATCATTTGGTATCACGTGAAAATTCCATCTGTAATTATGCGTTTTGCCTTTTTAATTTTAAATTCCTATTCTAATAGATGCATAATAGATCCTATTGTTTTTTCAGATTTTTCGCCTATACCAACTAATTCCATCTTATTAATATTATTCATTTCTGCTATATATATGCATTTAAATTTAATTAAACTAATACTAGCCCCAGTATCTATAAGGAATTTATAAAAGCATTTCTTATGACCTATTATTATATAAGGAATTTCTTTACTCACATTTAAAGAAAACGTTTTCTACTTTCGAAAATTTTTGTTTGCTTCCGGAGAAACATTCTTTTGTACTACCTTTGAGTAACATTTATTTGCAAAATGTCCTATTTTGCCACATTTATAGCACTTCATAATTTTTTCTCCAGTGCTATTAGTTTGTTCCTTGTTCATGGTACATTTTGAAGCGATGTGCCCTAATTTTCCGCAATTGTAGCATTTTATTTGTGTTACTTTAACACTGAAATTTCGTCTCACACTTTGTCTGTAACTTATTCTTCATCCTATGCAAATCTTCCAGCCTCTGACAACGATTGTGGACGACAATTGTTCACGTATTGACCGATTTCTCTATCTAAGCCATTTACGAACGCATTTAAAACGATCTTAGTTTCAATATAATTATAAACTGCTTCTCGAACACTATCATCCTGAGTTTCTATTTTCGCATCAGCTCCCAATTTCCTAGACATGGTTTCCATAAATACTTGGAACTGCCTAACTGTTCGTCCCCCTTGTCTAGTAGATATCAGTTCTCTATATAAAGCTAGTGTACTATCACTATCTTTATAGTTCTGTTTGAGTTGAATCTTAAGTTCATTCCAATTGCCTATAACTTTATTTTCTAATATTAATCTTGCGTTTCCTGATATCTGAGACTTCATATATTTAAATAGGAAATCTTTTTGAGGCGTCTTTGCTACGCCTATAGCATCATCGCAAGCGGAGACAAATGTGTACCATAAAGCTCAGTTTTATCGCTTTTAAACTCGGGTATTAATTTTATTAATATATTAGTATTATACCATCTCGCCTAATCCACTCGAATTACTAGAATTACCAGAATTGCCTGAATTACCTCAACTTCCTACATTTACATTATCATTTGTTGCCATTATGAATTTTATATAACGTAAAATATTGTACGAAATTATTGACAAAAACTATTATCAACTTCTATAAATTCCAATATATATATGTATATATATATATTTTTTATTTTTTTTTCCTTTAACAACATTAATTTATATTGATTTCTATAAACAACAAAATTTAATTTAGTTTCACTTATATGTGTTTTTTTTTTACAATTCATAAAACAAATACCGTTATTTGTGAAATAAGTAATAATTATCATTAGATAATTTTAGATTATTGAATTTAACATTTAGTACAATAATAACAAAATTAAATATTAAAATTTTGGTACATTACCAGTTAAGCTAAGAACCCATAACATCAGCATCATCTTAATCTTCAAATTTGCTCAACAGATTTGCTTCTTAATTACAGAACAGTAGATTCGTTCTCGATTTTTTGTATTTCACCACCTTCTTCTTTTTACGTTGAGTGTATTTTTGAAGTGCTTTTGTGTTATTTATATATTTACGTAATCGCTTT